TGTACTAAGTGTATTAAGTATTCTTTTGGTTAGCAGTGACCACAGAGGACTGTAAGACACTTCAAATGTTTTAGAATATGATTGTGTGAGTGAGCTCCAAGTTGGTATAAAAGACAAAACCAAAACACCATCATTTTGCTTTTTAATACTGCTTTTTAATATAGAACTATGGCCTGGTGTCCTGGTTTGGGGTAGAACAGAATCAATTCTGTCCAGTGATTTTACTTTTCAGGTAAAGCTCTTCCAATTAACTGCACTTTCTGAAGTTAGCAGCATGTTTTTGCAGACAGTGTCTGCTTCTAGCAGGGATAATGCTCTGTGTTTAGTTACCACCAAGGACTGGGGTGCAGACCAAGGTCACTGCTAAATCCTGTGGACCACACTCTGCAGGGAGGAGTGGACAGGACCCTAAATTGAGCAGGGGGGTTTTCCATCCCACATCCATCATACTGGGTATAAAAGCTGAAGGATCACAAGGTTCAACCCCTTCCTTCCTCTCTTGCTGCTCCTTCCAGGGCCAGCACCCGAGCAGGACTCTGTCCATCCTGCCCTGATCCTGAGCAGTGTGTTCCTGAGTTCCAGAACCCAGCTCCTGGACCCAGCTGCTGCCTGCTGCCCAGTCCAGCCTGGGACCTTTCCCCAGGGTGTGCTGGGGGTGACAGTGACACTGCCATCAGGGGGGTGCTGGATTCAGTTATATATCAGTTATATACTGGGTTTGTATATATTCTACTTTATTGTTAGTAGTAGTATTTCCATTAAAGCTGTTTAACTTTTCTAACTGATAAGTCTCTCTCTCTTATTCCCTTTTGGGGAGAGAGGGGTTAACAGTGAGCGTGTTACAGCTCTGGGGGCAGCCCTGACCCTAGACTGTGACACCCAGGATTTCCCTGTGGATAACAGCTGTGTATGTGTAAGGTAAAGGTAACATCAGCACTGCCCAGAAGCAAACTGCACTATAGTGTCAGAGCAAGAGAGCAGATTGGGCAAATCAGCAGCTCATCCTGGTAAAACTGACAGGAAGAACATAAAATATAATACAAGGTTTAGACTGTAAGCTGGCAAAGAGAGCAGTGCTTTAAAGCATTCTGTGTTTTTATAAAAAAAACAAGGAAAAGGATATCCCATTACAATTCTATCACAGTGCTGTAAGAGTTTGTGGAAGTCAAACAGGACAAAAGTGAAAAGTGGAAGTGCCAGTCTCAGAAGAACACCCAGACATGCTATATATGAGTTTCATGAAGCTGATGCCACAGAACCCACCTGTAGTTTGATCCACAAGCACACGTGAGTTGATGATGCGGCCGAAACGTGAGAACATATCTTCTACATCCTTCTGTGTCATCGACCTGGGCAGTCCACTAATATATAAGTTAGCATCCTTGATAACTTCAGAACTTGGACGAGCATAGGAAACCTTTAAACAGAAAAAAAAAAACAAGTTCAATGTTCAAATGTGAACACTGAACACATGTTCAGTTTCCTATTTACACAGTTTGAAATTTATTTTGTTTATATTTCTTGCATTTGTTCCCCACTAAGCAATGCAGGCATTTTTTACTGGAGTACAAAAAAAGTGGAACAGGGAGGAAAGCTGGGGAAAATGACTAGAACAAGAAGAGAAAAGTCATGTCCCTGCAGAACTCCACTTATTTTGGTCTTAGCCAAGAGAGAAAGAATATAGTGGCATTGCTTTAAAGAGAGAGCAGCAGACTAAAAGCTCACTTGCTGTGTTGAAGAATCCCCATGTTCTGACTTGGACTCCAGACCTGTCAGTAACCACACATCACAGCAAGAATTTCTGCTGTCAGTACTTTTTGTTTTTAAAGCCTCATAAGAAGATTTTAGCAGCTGAAGTGCAGTTTGCTATCTTAGTATCTGTTACTAGAGAAAGTTGCAAACATCACCTAAGCTACACACACAGTACTTGCTGTTACTTTGGAAAAGGAGTGCACATGTGTTAGCACAATTTAAAATACAAATTAACAGAGACATACATGAGGTCACAAGCCTGGCAACAATCTGGAATGATCCCACTTACTGCTGTAAAAACAGTGGGAAATGATAAAAACAGAAATCTTTGAACACAAAGCTGTTACAAAATGTGAGAGGCTTAGCAGTTCATGTCACTGCTCTGCTCCCACATTCTACCCTTCTGGCAGCTGGAGAGCATGCAAAACTCTCCACCTGAATGAAGTTTATCAGAACAGTGTTTTCACAGAAGATTGAAAAGAATCCAAAGCTCCTACCTTGATAGTTTTTGACTGAAGTCTGAGGCCATTCAGTGTGTTTATTGCTCTCTCAGCATCTTTTGCAGTAACGTAGTTCACAAAGCCATAGCCTAAGCTGTGTCCTGCATGGGAGAACATCCTTCAAATTAGTACTAACAAAAGAGAGCTCCCACCATCACAACAAAAGGAAATGCAAAGGAGAAGAAGCAAACTCAATGTAAACATAATCCACACAGGAAATACTTAAATAAGCCAGAGAAGTCTCTCAAGGCTGGCACACACCAGAAGTAACTCAAAGCTCTTTCCTTTGCCTCTGACATCCCTCTGGCTCCAGGGACACTGTGCACAAGGCAGCTGCAGATGCTCCATCGAGGGGAAGAAACTCAAGACTAAGACACTGATTCTGAGCAGTGTAAACGTTACAGGTGTGGAACAAAGGCATGAAGTTAACAGAGTTCATTATCACAAACTCTCGTAGATAAAGAGCAGAAAGTGAGACAGTGTCAATGGATGAAACGCCAGGTAAGAATCCCCAGGCTGCTCATTTCTGTGTAGCTGTTCCAATCTTCTCTCCTGGAGACAAGAGGGGAAAAGTCCTCAATTCTTCATCCATTCATCCAGCTAATAAGCAGCAAGTCTCCCAAACACAGGATGACACTCAGGACTGAAAATTTCTCTTTAATGAAGGCAATTCATTTACTATTCTTTAATCAAAGTTTATTCTTAACTCTTACAAAAAGAATTGGTTAATAATAATACAAACCTTTAAAATACTTTAAAGGCAAAGCATATTTATTTGGATATTTATGTATTCTGCTTCTATCTCCAACCTCCACAACTGCTACTATCAATTATAACATTACATACTAAGATAGTTTTAGCTTGCAATTTCCTAACAATTAGAGGCCCTTATCACTGTAGGCCTAAAAATAACTAAAATAATATGTTATGTTTCTTTAACAATATACTACTCTGAAATCTAGCTCTTCAATCACCCAGCATGGCTCTGTAAAGGCCTTAGCTGGCAAGGAAGTTTTCAACACTTCCCAGATATCTTCTTCTCAGAATACCAAATCCACTCACACACAGATTAAACAGTCAAATAGTGATTATCCTAGCACAAAATGTCAGAGAAACTGAAGCAAAGGGCTGTGACAGACACTGCAGATTAACTGCACCTCCTGGTAAAATAATCACCAGTCTACTGCAGGCATTGAGACCTACAAGTTCCAAAGCCACAAGGGATGGGAGGAAGCTCCAAAACCACCCTCACAGTTATTTCTAACAGCATACAGGACAGACTGACTGAGAACAGCTGCCAGAGCACAACTCCCTGGCATGTCCTCTGCATTCATCTGCTTTGTTGTGGAATGTAGAAGACCAGTAACTCATCTAAACCCAAATAATGTCCTTGCCTGCTTCTTAATACACTCTTCATATAAACAGCCCCAGTTAATTTATATTGTCTGCAAAAGCTCTTCAAGAAGCCAGATTCCCTTCTTGTCCAACCCCTCCACAGGAACAATATCCTGCTCCCTTACAGACCCAGTGTTACAACATCTCCAGTAGCAAGGACCAAACTCTCACGATGCCAGAAATGGCAAATCACTCTGGTAGCAAAGTGGGACTTAACTCTACTCAGGAAACAAATAAATGCAATAAAAGCAAGACCTTAAACACTAGTTTCCTCACCTTCATCCTTTAAAGATCCACAGGTAACATGGATCAGGATTTTGCAGATTTATCTGCCATATACCTACATCACAGGTTTTGTTATTTATTTGTAATGATTCTGTTTTATTAGTCAGATATGGTCAATCGTGTGGATCAAATCTGGCTAGTCCACAACCATCACAGACTGGCTTAGCTTGGAAGGGACCCTGGAGATCATCTAATCAACATCCCTGCCATGGGCAGGGGCCCCTCACAGCTAGACCAGGTTGCTCAGGGCCTCATCCAGCCTGGCCTTGAACACCTCCAGGGAGGGGCATCCACAGACTCTATGGGATCCAGTCCAGAGTCTGGCCACCCCCCTACTGATGAAGAACTCCCCAAGATCCAGTCACAACCTGCTCTCCTGCAGGTTAAACCATCTCCCCTTGTCCTGTGGCTGGACACTGAAAGGGTTGCCAAGCCCTGGACCAGATTGCCCAGGCAGGGGGTGGAGTCCCCATCCCTAGAGGAATTTAAAAGCTGTGTAGGTGAGGTGCTGAGTGACATGGTTTAGTGTTGGGCTTGGTAAAGTCAATGGCTGGACCCAATGATCTTACAAGTCTTTTCCAACAGAAAGGATTCTGTGTTCTGCTGTCCCTGAGCTCACATACACTCACCCTCCCACGTGCCTGTTCCCCAAAGTACCCCTAAGTAGTGACCACATTCCCTTGGCCACTTTTGTTTTGTTCTTTACCACTTTTGTTTGAGCAAAACTCTGCTCCTTTTCTGCTCCTAATTTTATACATGTTGCTCAACAATTATTTCCTTATCAAAGAGTCTGAATGCCCTGGGAAAGGGCAGAGCAAGGATGTACTGGGGCTTAGAGAAACAAACAGATTAAAAAAGAAGGGCCTGAGAAGTGGCAGGATTACAGCAGTTATCAGATGTTTTCATATTTGCTGTAGGTATGTGACAGCGTTTGTACTAAACCCCAGAAATTAGTCCTGTTAACTTTCAGCTGCCACAG